TATATACATTTTAAACCTAGAGTGATCTTGAGAGCTGATAGCACTGTGCAACAATGCCAGGATGTTTGAGATGCGTTTCTCTCCCTCTAACTGCACGTTGTTGCTTCAGAACTGGCCTGCGTCAACACCTGAACTAAAGATAGGGAGTGAAGTAGTCGAACGCGTTGACAACTTCACTTATCTTGGAAGTCTGATCAACCCTAATGGGTTGGTGTCTGAAGAAATATTAGCACAGATTCGAAAAACGCGTTTGGTTTTTGCCAACTTACGTCACCTATGGTGAAGGCGAGATATCCGTCTATCAATTTAGGGACGAGTATACTGCCCAGCAGTTCTTTCTGTTCTACTTCACGGCTGCGGAACGTGGCCTTTAAGCGTAGAAGACACGCGTAAGCTACTAGTATTTGACCACAGATGCTTTAGAAATATTGCTCGTATCTGCTGGGATCACCGGGTAAGTAATCGTGAGGTTAAACCCAAGGTACGAGGGAATGATGGTAATCCAGTCGATGGGGTTATGAATTTTCATCGACTGAGGTAGTTGGGTCACGTGTTACCTATCCCTGAACTCCAATTACCACGACACACAATGCTGACTAGTTTTGGGATGGTTGGAAGAAAGTTAGGGTTGGCCAAACCAAGACGTGGCATCAGTGCTTGAATTGACTAACTTCTAGTGTGATCCATGTTGGTAGATGCAGATTACTTGGTTGGGGTCTGTGTGATTTCATAACCAATGGTTGTAGACTGTGGGTGACATTGTGGAGAATGGATCACAATTGTGTAGGTGAACTAATTAGTATATTCTTTTGTTGAAAATAGGCTGCAATTAAAATCAATTCGATTTCGTAATCATGGCAGTCGTCTTAGTGACCAATCTAAATGAAGCGGGAATTATTGTATCCATCATCTTTATAAGCAAAAGAGGTCAGTTTCTTTCTTTCTGTGTTCTTTTCCCCCGCTTTTTCTTTTGTGTAGCTACATAATTTAATGGTTCACTGTATTAAAATGCCGCAATTAATGTAAACATTCTAAATATTGGCGCAAATTTTCTTTGATTCAGCTACTAATACTACTACTACTCAAGTCAATATATTTCTTCGAGCAAACTCACTTATCTTATGTCATAAAATGTTAATCCGTTTTGTTCTGAGTATTATTTCTTTTTAGATCTCGAAAGTCGAAATTAGCTTTACTTTTTTTAAAGTTAAAATATATCAGACAAATTTAAAGTTTTCGCCTTGAATTGTATTAATGTGACAAAACAAAACTTGTTCAATTATCAATGTCATCTATCATGGTTCTTGTTTTTAAATAGAACGAAATAAGTGATAGATAACAGGATGACAAAAACTTTGAAAAATTAAATTAAAAATAAACAAACAAAAATTAAGTTTCGGGTCAATTCAAACATTCAGTCACTTCTTTCTATATCAATACATTATGATTGTCCACTTATATTATTTATTTATTTAGTTATTTGGACATAAAAATATTGGCACAAAGAGGCACCGAATATATATGCACCACATAAATCATCCGGTTTGTGGGTGGGTTATGATACTACCCGGGTGCCCAAATCGAAGCAGGTGATTTTCTTAGTGCGCCACACCCGGAGCATTCAACCTAAAGGTCTGGTTCACAAGGCAATTGAGCAACGTTGAGAAATGCAGTCCCATGATAGCCAGTGATCAACAATAGATTCATACGCCATTTGTTCCCTCAGGATTCTGGAGCCCATGTACACCATTAGTTTGAAATCAAGGTTTTCCAACTTCTCTAGGTGAATTTTCTATGTCCACCAACCCGGTTAAAGCACCGGACAGTCATTTTTCGTTCTCTCAATTTCGTAAACAACGCCCCTGCCACGGGAGTGCAGTGAGTAGGACTTCCCTGGAAGTGGCTGTATATTAAATATAATTTACAAAGTTTGACATGATTATCATACTGTTTGGTATTTAATTTTATTTAAGATAAACAGAGAAGGAATGAATTTTAAAAAACAGTTAATTATTATCGGATTGGGGGTATTTTGTGGATATTGTAGTAATTTTTAATAATTGAATTCATAAGTCGATTAAAGCTAGACCACCATAGAATACCTAAAACAACTGGATATTCGTTTCGACCTAGTATGGGACTCCTTAGGAGTGTGTATCCACAATCACACACGCGTGGATTTCAACGCTATCTATTATGGTGAAAGTTACTTACTGAAGACAGAGGTGGACGGTCGCACAATATCGTCGATTAGTTGGACATTAACACTATTGGATGCCAGTCGGCTCAGTGGTCTAGAGGTTAAGCAATCGCCCGCGAGATCGAAGGTCCTGAGTTAGAATTAAGTGTATGGTATCGTGGATGCACACTGTTGAGAAGCCTTATACTAGAACGAAACGACCTTCCAATGCTTCCAGGTTTTCCTTGGTGGCCTAGCTTTAATCGACTCATGAATTCAACTATTGAAAATAATACTTAATTAACTGATTAATTAATTGATGAATTGAATAAATATATGTATTAATCATTGGAATTGACAGTTTTGTTTTAATTTTAAATATTTAGAGTAAACAAAATAAATAAACGAATAGAAATAGACCTACGGAACAATGATATTCTAGATAGAATTATTTGAACTATCTATATTTTTCTCTTTTTACTTAATCGTTATCAATATAAGTCAGTTGAAGAATGTAAAACAAGAAGGGGATAGAAACAAAAGAAGAAAGACAGCGAGTGACAGAGGGAGAGAGAGAGGGAGTAAGAGTATGAAACAAAACTAGAAAAATCAAATGAAATTCAATTATATTGATCTTTGTTGCAGTTGTACAAATATATACAACTATAATGTCAGAAATAACAATCTTTCTAACAACAGAAGATTGTTTACATATAACATATGAGAACAATAGGGGAAAAAATGAGTTAAAATATTTGAAATTAGATTGATGATATAGTTGAATTCTGATGATTTCTTTGCTAATGCCTATGTTGAATTTTGGTTGAAGCTGGTAAATAAGAATCATTGAGTACTAATTCAGTGATCTGAAGATTATGGAGAAGATTTGTAGTTCAGGTGGATGATTTTGATGGAGTTTTGTTCTCTGAGCTGGATGGTTTAGTCGTGAAGCGTTCATCATTCTTCTGAACAACATAATCAGCACAAATTTCAGGTACAAGTGAAGTGTTTTAATCTCTCCGCATGTGGTTCAAAGTCTGTCCTGTACAACCAAAACAAAGAAGTAAACAATGACAGGTCTAAGGTCAAAAAGAACCAACCAACATCGTGGTGTACAGGACAAGCTGTGAACCACATATGGAGAAATTCGAGCATTTCACTTCTACCTGAAGTTTGTGCTGATGATGTCCTTCAGAAGAACGATGAAAGCTTCACGACTAAACCATCCAGCTCATAGAACAAAACTCCAGCAAGATCTGAAGCCTAATTACTCTCCGTGATCGTTGATGGGATCGTGGCTGCATACAGACGATGAGTAAGATTACCAGGGAGAGACAGCTACGCAGTACACTTTTTGTTCTTTGGTTTTCAATGATTTTCTAATCAAAGTCAATCCGTGATATCAAACCACAAAATTATTTTCAGAAGGGGTTTGTGGAGATTTTAGAAATTTTCACAGATTGAAATCATGAGTCAGTTGAAGCTAGACCACCATTGAAAACCTGGAAGCACTGGACGGCCGTTTCGTCCTAGTATGGGACTCCTCAGCAGTGCTCATCCACGATCCCGCACCACGCGGGGCTCGAACCCAGGACCTACTGGCTTCGCGCGCGAGCACTTAACCATTGGACCACTGAACCAACATCCAACGGTGTTAGTGTCTAACTTCAACCAATCCACGAAGTGCTTCCAGGTTTTCAATGGTGGTCTAGCATCAACTGACTCATGATTTCAATCTGCACAAAATTATTTATTTATATTTTAATAGGTGGTTTAAAGAGATTTGTTTTTGTCATGAATAGAATTCAACTAGAGAATCCTTGATAAATTGATCGTTGAAACATTGGAATGAGAAATTCATCATTCTCAATCAATAAAGTAGGTTAGATGATTGATTTAATTCAATTTTCCAAGCCATTTTATGCAATATCAACAAAGTAAAAAGTATAATAGATGCTATACAAATAAGGATGACTAAAGATTGTACTTTATAATTAATTGAATCAAGTTGTAAATTCGATCTGTAGAGTCTAGATTTAATGGTTTAACTTTTTTGAGGAAACGTAATTCTTTTATGTTTAACCTCCTGTGGAGTTAAAACTGGACATTCATTCCAATATTGATATTAATGAGTAGTGATGTAATCTATCTTCAGTATTTACTGATACATTCAACAATTTTGCTTTGTGACATAAGAATGTATTTTTTCATGTTCGTTGTTTAAAAATGTTTGAACTTGCATCGTTCAATTTCCCAGAATAATAGTCACCTTATTACCTGGTCAGTAGAATTCGATCTACGTTAAGGACTCGATGAACATGATATTGGTCGCTGCTAACTGACCAGTCTGTGTAAATATCTTAGCAACAAGGGAGCTCAATAGTTCTGGGAATAGTATGTGCTAAAGTGTCAGATTATGAAGCTGGCTTACACTGACTTGAATCTACCAGGGAGATTATTCTCTGGAAATTGCAGATACTCGTTATTAACGAAGGATGGCTAGAAAGAAACCTAGGACCATGCTTACCTGCTAACTATCTTCAATCCTATAGTATCAAAGAGTTAATAGTACAACAGGTCGTTATATAGTTCACCTTATAACTGACAGTGTTTTTGAATACCCTAAGACAAGAAGTAAAACACAGATGAAAATTCGTTGAGAGGGGGAGGAGGAGTTAGTACCTTAGATAATGCATGCAAAATAAAAAAAGAAAACTCACCATTACTGCTGATTTTATTCATTGTCATACTTGTATGTTATATCATCATCAATGATGAGTGTTTCACCTCGAACATGGTTGAGATTCAACACTCAAGAATTCTAACTAGGTCTTCGAGAATGTTTTTCGAAGTCAGCCACTAATCTAGTAACTAACGTACTATTATTATTATTATTATTATTATTATTATTATTATTATTATTATTATTATTATTATTATTATTAGTAGTAGTAGTAGTAGTAGTAGTAGTAGTAGTAGTAGTAGTAGTAGTAGTAGTAGTAGTAGTAGTAGTAGTAGTAGTAGTAGTAGTAGTAGTAGTAGTAGTAGTAGTAGTAGTAGTAGTAGTAGTAGTAGTAGTAGTAGTAGTAGTAGTAGTAGTAGTAGTAGTAGTAGTAGTAGTAGTAGTAGTAGTAGTAGTAGTAGTAGTAGTAGTAGTAGTAGTAGTAGTAGTAGTAGTAGTAGTAGTAGTAGTAGTAGTAGTAGTAGTAGTAGTAGTAGTAGTAGTAGTAGTAGTAGTAGTAGTAGTAGTAGTAGTAGTAGTAGTAGTAGTAGTAGTAGTAGTAGTAGTAGTAGTAGTAGTAGTAGTAGTAGTAGTAGTAGTAGTAGTAGTAGTAGTAGTAGTAGTAGTAGTAGTAGTAGTAGTAGTAGTAGTAGTAGTAGTAGTAGTAGTAGTAGTAGTAGTAGTAGTAGTAGTAGTAGTAGTAGTAGTAGTAGTAGTAGTAGTAGTAGTAGTAGTAGTAGTAGTAGTAGTAGTAGTAGTAGTAGTAGTAGTAGTAGTAGTAGTAGTAGTAGTAGTAGTAGTAGTAGTAGTAGTAGTAGTAGTAGTAGTAGTAGTAGTAGTAGTAGTAGTAGTAGTAGTAGTAGTAGTAGTAGTAGTAGTAGTAGTAGTAGTAGTAGTAGTAGTAGTAGTAGTAGTAGTAGTAGTAGTAGTAGTAGTAGTAGTAGTAGTAGTAGTAGTAGTAGTAGTAGTAGTAGTAGTAGTAGTAGTAGTAGTAGTAGTAGTAGTAGTAGTAGTAGTAGTAGTAGTAGTAGTAGTAGTAGTAGTAGTAGTAGTAGTAGTAGTAGTAGTAGTAGTAGTAGTAGTAGTAGTAGTAGTAGTAGTAGTAGTAGTAGTAGTAGTAGTAGTAGTAGTAGTAGTAGTAGTAGTAGTAGTAGTAGTAGTAGTAGTAGTAGTAGTAGTAGTAGTAGTAGTAGTAGTAGTAGTAGTAGTAGTAGTAGTAGTAGTAGTAGTAGTAGTAGTAGTAGTAGTAGTAGTAGTAGTAGTAGTAGTAGTAGTAGTAGTAGTAGTAGTAGTAGTAGTAGTAGTAGTAGTAGTAGTAGTAGTAGTAGTAGTAGTAGTAGTAGTAGTAGTAGTAGTAGTAGTAGTAGTAGTAGTAGTAGTAGTAGTAGTAGTAGTAGTAGTAGTAGTAGTAGTAGTAGTAGTAGTAGTAGTAGTAGTAGTAGTAGTAGTAGTAGTAGTAGTAGTAGTAGTAGTAGTAGTAGTAGTAGTAGTAGTAGTAGTAGTAGTAGTAGTAGTAGTAGTAGTAGTAGTAGTAGTAGTAGTAGTAGTAGTAGTAGTAGTAGTAGTAGTAGTAGTAGTAGTAGTAGTAGTAGTAGTAGTAGTAGTAGTAGTAGTAGTAGTAGTAGTAGTAGTAGTAGTAGTAGTAGTAGTAGTAGTAGTAGTAGTAGTAGTAGTAGTAGTAGTAGTAGTAGTAGTAGTAGTAGTAGTAGTAGTAGTAGTAGTAGTAGTAGTAGTAGTAGTAGTAGTAGTAGTAGTAGTAGTAGTAGTAGTAGTAGTAGTAGTAGTAGTAGTAGTAGTAGTAGTAGTAGTAGTAGTAGTAGTAGTAGTAGTAGTAGTAGTAGTAGTAGTAGTAGTAGTAGTAGTAGTAGTAGTAGTAGTAGTAGTAGTAGTAGTAGTAGTAGTAGTAGTAGTAGTAGTAGTAGTAGTAGTAGTAGTAGTAGTAGTAGTAGTAGTAGTAGTAGTAGTAGTAGTAGTAGTAGTAGTAGTAGTAGTAGTAGTAGTAGTAGTAGTAGTAGTAGTAGTAGTAGTAGTAGTAGTAGTAGTAGTAGTAGTAGTAGTAGTAGTAGTAGTAGTAGTAGTAGTAGTAGTTGTAGTAGTAGTAGTAGTAGTAGTAGTAGTAGTAGTAGTAGTAGTAGTAGTAGTAGTAGTAGTAGTAGTAGTAGTAGTAGTAGTAGTAGTAGTAGTAGTAGTAGTAGTAGTAGTAGTAGTAGTAGTAGTAGTAGTAGTAGTAGTAGTACTGATGGGCGTAATATCTTGTAAATGTGTCATTGTTAACTCTTACTTATAAACGAATAAACAACGGTATTGAATATTTAAGGGTGTAACTATAATTTCACCTTGGTTTTATATATTTTAAAATAAAATCACATATGGTTACTACAATCTATTAGAATAGTGTAATTGTTCAATTTGACAGTAATGTTATTATAATTATTTCACTTCAAAACGAATACATATATGGTTGGAAATAGTTAGAATAGTAGATATACAACTATTGACAATATCAATAAGAAATTAAAAACACACATTATTGGAATATACATGAACAACTAAAGCCTAGATTAGTCTAGATATGTTATTGTCTAATCTTTACAAGTAATCTGTTTCATAATCGGCTACTATATAAGGCTGATTCCAAATAATTAAATTACTATATATATTTATTTGTTTTTATGTGGAAATTCGATAGGAATGGACATATAAAATGTTCACTGTTCACCTTGTCCGGGATGAAGTTTAGAATTTTTAGGTGTCGATATGAGAACATTAGTATATGACAATTAGGCAAAACACCGTTGAATGCCGGTCGGCTCAGTGGTCTAGAGGTTAAGTATTCGCGCATGGAACTGATAGGTTCTGGGTGTGACTCTCGAGGGGCGGGTTTGTGGATGTACATTGCTGAAAAGTCTCATACTAGGATAAAACAGCTGTCCAGTACTTCCATGTTTTCCATGGTGGTCTGGCTTCAATTGACTCATGAATTCAACTATAAAATTACTAAAATCTCCACAGAACTCTTTTTGATAATTAAGTATAATTTCAGAGACCAATCATTTTTCAAGTTTAGCTACTTCTAAGATATAGTATCAAGCATTAAACAGTTCAGTTGGTAGGCGATTTGTTCATGCCTACAGATTAATTAGCCCAAACTGGTTATATCTTTCTGCTTGAACGTTTAGCTACTTATCTGACTTAGCTTGTTCATGAAAAAGTAAGTAAGCAAGTATTAGGTAGGAAGCAATGCTTGAATTTTGGATTACACCAATAATTGATGTTAATTAGACAATTATTAGAAACGAAGAAACACGGAAGCTTTTCAGTCTTAGTATGGGACTTCTCCTCTTTACACTTACACAACCCTCTCAGGTATTGAATTCAGGAACGGCAGAGCTCATGGATCCAATTTAAAGTTTACAATGTCTGTAAAAAAATAATTTTTTCAATCAAACTGATAGAGCTCAACTTGTAACTGTTACTTCCTTTACAAGAACTTATTGGGTTTAATTCATGGAATTGTAGGTATCCGATTCGGAAAACAATGGTTTTTAAATATTTTAATCAACTTACTACAGAAATAAACGGAGAAGAATGCGATGTTAGTTTGGAGGAGCTTTTTAGTTGAACGTAAGAAAAGATAGATGAACATAATTGGTATTTGCTGATCATCTTGAGACGGAGAAGGATCTCATACAGTGTAAGTAGGGATAATGATTATGTCGCTTGAATGAGAGCTTTCAGTCCATAGCATTCGTTAAAATAACAAGGTCAGTATTAATGTCGAGTTTGAATAAATAAGGAACAAAAATTATGGCAGAAATGCATGAATTTGTTTATTTCATGGATTCTTTTCAGATGTTTACAACCTGTAAACAATAGTATTAATCAATGAAAATGAAATAAGTAAACGTATTGTATGTCAGAAAACACTTGAGTATAACACGTTTATATAGAGCAATAACACTTCCAAGTTAACTATATTTTTAGTGCTGATACTGTTTTGGAAGAGAAGTCAGTTGGTAACGATCAAATGCATAAATAATACCACTTTACATTGAATATTTCATTTGTAAATTTCCATCATTTGTCCTTCACATTCTGTATGTTTCCTTCAGTTCACGATTCTTCCCTATTTTGCCTTCCATTCTCTTCAACTCGATCTTCTTAATCTTCTACTGTCCGGTTTTCCACTTCCGATTAGTGTTACATACTACTTATGTCAACAGGCATAATTAGCAGACAGAATACTATAGGAATTTTAAACATTCAGCTGAAATTTGAAAGTAAGGATCTTAAACCTAATTTGCGATGATGACTGCCAATATTGTTAACTTTATATTATTGAAGTAACTTGATTATAATTTCTAAATTCTGTTAAAGTTTAACAAATATTACATTTTCAGAATGGGGTTGTGGAGAGATTATAGTGTTTTCATAGTTTACAAATCATGAATTGATTATCGTTAAGCCCCATTAAAAACCTGAAAGCTCTGGAATCCAATTCATTCAGGAATTAGACTTTTCAGAGTGGGCATCCACGACCTGACATCGTGGAATCTAACCTAGGACTTTTGATCTCTTGCACGAATGTTTAATCTCCAAACCACAGAGCCTATATCAAACAGTGTTTAACTCCAATCAAATATTGCATTGTACAGATGAATGCATTAAAAATATTTAACTATTTAAAACGATTACAGTTAAATTGACAAGCTTAGTGCACTAGATGTTTAAGACATCAACATTTTAGTCGACTTATATATTCTCATAATATTCAACGATTCAAACCTAAATAGAAATAGAAAATCAGTTTTACTTATAAAATTATTTCACACATATAAATCAAAACGTAGAGATGGATGATGACTCGTAGTGGAATCTAGGATATGAGTTTCGTCCCATTCGGGACTCATCAGATCGATATATCTGTATGTCAGAGTTGATGGTCACTCCAAAACTCGAACACAACACCTTTCACGGAAAACGCCACTTAGCTACTAAATCCATGTTACAAATAACCGTTGAATTATATAAGTTTTTTTAGAAACATTCTCAAGTTGTCAGTAATTTCAGTACCTTGTCAATTAGACTAAAAAATAGCATAATGAATGAATTTCTAGATTTTTCCACGTTCTAGAGAATTTTGATTGAGATCATGAACAGATTGATGTTAGACCACCAATGAAAACCTGGAAGCACTGGACGGCCGTTTCGTTCTATTGTGGGACTCCTCAGCAGTGCGCATCCACGATCCCGCTAGCGGGATTCAAACCCAGAGCCTCCGGTCTCGTGCGCGAACGCTTAACCTACTGGATCACTGAGCCGGCATCCAATGGTAATACTGTCTAACATCAACCAATCCACGAAATTTCGCAACCATCTTCTATTGTACTGAGGTAGATACCTGTCTACCCGACACGGATTAGCTCCACTGGTCATAGCTTCTCACTAGAACTCCGAGAATTCCCTCACGAAGCTAATCACATGTTAATTACTAGTATAGGGTTTGTGGAGATTGTTAAGTTTTTGATTGAGATCATGAACCGAATTATTCGAACATTAGCGAAGGTTCTTTAATACAAATCGTAAGCTAATCATGAATTTGTTCAGTATCGAAAAAAATCTTTTCTCATACGAACTATGTATTATACTTCCATGAATATCAGTAGGTAAGAAGCTCTCCATCTCATTCTTTGTTACATTAAAAAACAATATCAGAACAACAACAGCAAAAACAACAAAGAAAAACAACAACAATAAAGTAAAGAAAAACAAGCAAATTTCATTATTGACTCACGCGAAAACACATCATGTGAAGGATTGAGATAATGAACATTGAACTTAAAAAATAAAAATAAAAATAATTGAATATTGAAAAAAAAAGAAGATTCAAAACGGAAATTACCATACTTCTTATTGAATTCTTCTTTTCATTTGTTTGTTTGTTTTAAGCATACACACCTATACAAAACTACATACTTATCATTTATTAACACAAATAGAAAGGTGATAATTATGAGAATCATTATTCGACATGAGCATATGTCTTAAACAATAAAATAAACATGGTCTATTGAAGGTGGTTCTATAGAGGGGGAATAAAAAAGGATGCTTTTTGTTGTTATTATTGTTGTTGTTGTTTTCTTCTCATAAGTGTGCAAGATAAAACAAAAATCAATTAACTAATTAGTTACATTTAAACACTATGAAATTGAACATTGTTTACATGCTTTTGCTTATCTAATTTGAAAAAAAACATCTTTCTTTCCATAACTTTATTATCACCATTAATTGGTAGGAATGAGTTTTTGTTCTACTAACAATGTTAAATCTTTATCATGTCTAAATTATCTAAAAATAACAAAATAAAGTATGCAGGTACCAATTTTGATTGATGATAAATAATTTATCAACAAGGCCCCAAATGCCCCATGTACGGTCGAAGTTGGGGAGAATCAGTTCTCTTTTTTGAATTGCTCTCATATGGCCACGTGCATACAACCACTGAGAGGGAAGTCCTATTCACTTCCTTCTCCCGTAGCATTACTGTTGTTCACGAAATTGAGAGGATGAAAAGCGAATTTCTGGCACTTTAGTAAAATTGGTCGACCCTGATTCCAAGCCGACGGTGCACATGGGATACAGGATCCTGAAGGAACAAATGGCGTATGAACCTATTGTTGATCAGTGGCTACCATGAGACTACATCTCCTTACGTTGCTTCATTGCCTTGTGGATCAGACCTTTAGGTCGAGTGATCCGGGTGTGGCCCCTTAATAAAACCACCTACTTCGGTTCGGGCACCTGGGCAGTATCACAGCCCACATACAAATCAAGTGGCTTGTGTGGTGCATATGTATTCGGTGCTCCTTTATACCAATATTTATATGTTCAAATAAATAAATTCATCAGCAAGGTGTAACTGCAATCTTGGAGGGAATTAATTCTTTCTCATGAAATCGATCCCATGTCAATTAGCTTCACAAACAGAGAGGTTACCATTGAGTTGTTCGGGTCACAAATGATCTCTTCTAGGACGATGTCTACGTCTAGGGTTTTCTGTAGACTACTTCAAAGCATCTTACATTTCTATATCGTGCACTCAATGACTGATCACTTAGACTAATGGTCAAATTGAAATTTGATCGATGGAATTCGTTATCTTCTAAGAAGGACTAGATATATATGACATTGGTCACTACTTAGTGATCAATCAATCGTAAAGAATTTTTAATATTTTATACGCGAAAAACTCAGTATGTGCATTTCAT